CGAGGAGCTCGAACAGTTCATCCACTTCACTAACACCTTCCACCCCAACCTTAAGTTTACCTGGACCATCTCTAACACCTCTCTCCCCTTCCTGGACCTCTCTGTCTCCATATCGGGCAACCACCTAGAAACCGATATTCATTTCAAGCCCACCGACTCCCACAGCTACCTAGAATACTCCTCCTCCCACCCACCTTCCTGCAAAAATGCTATCCCCTATTCCCAATTCCTTCGCCTCCGCCGCATCTGCTCCCAGGATGAGGCATTCCACTCCCGTACATCTCAGTTGTCCTCGTTTTTCAAGGACCGTAACTTCCCCTCCTCGGTGGTCGAGAACGCCCTCAACCGTGTCTCCCACATCTCCCGCACCTCATCCCTCACACCCCGTCCACGCAATAAGAACCAAAAAAGAATCCCCCTCGTCCTCACGTACCACCCCACCAACCTCCGGATCCAACGCATCATCCTCCGACACTTCCGCCATCTGCAATCCGACCCCACCACCAAAGACATCTTTCCCTCCCCACCCTTATCTGCTTTCCGGAGGGACAACTCTCTCCGTGACTCCCTTGTCCGCTCCACACTCCCCTCCAGCTCCACCACACCCGGCACTTTTCCCTGCAACCGCAGGAAGTGCTACACCTGCCCCCATACCTCCTCCCTCACCCCCATCCCAGGCCCCAAGAAGACTTTCCACATCAAGCAGATGTTCACCTGCACATCTGCCAATGTGGTATACTGCATCCGCTGTACCCGGTGTGGCTTCCTCTACATCGGGGAAACCAAGCGGAGACTCGGGGACCGCTTTGCAGAACACCTACGCTCGGTTCGCAACAAACAACTGCACCTCCCAGTCGCGAACCATTTCAACTCCCCCTCCCATTCCTCAGACGACATGTCCATCCTGGGCCTCCTGCAGTGCCACAACGATGCCACCCGAAGGTTGCAGGAACAGCAACTCATATTCCGCTTGGGAACCCTGCAGCCCAATGGTATCAATGTGGATTTCACAAGTTTCAAAATCTCCCCTCCCCCTACCGCGTCCCAAAACCAGTCCAGCTCGTCCCTGCCTCCCTAACCTGTTCTTCCTCCCACCTCAAGCCGCACCTCCATCTCCTACCGACCAACCTCATCCCGCCCCCTTGACCTGTCCGTCCTCCCTGGACTGACCTATCCCCTTCCTAACTCCCTACCTACACTCACCTTTACTGGCTCCATCCCCGCCTCTTCGACCTGTTTGTTCCCTCTCCACCTATCCTTACCTCTATCCCTCTTCTATCCGCCTCCCACTCTCTCCCTATTTATTTCAGAACCCCCTTCCTCTCCCCCTTTTCTGATGAAGGGTCTAGGCCCGAAACGTCAGCCTCTCTGCTCCTATGATGCTGCTTGGCCTGCTGTGTTCATCCAGCCCTGCACCTTGTTGTCTCTATTATTTAGAGGTAAACTATTATAACCTTACATACCTGGAGAAAAGAAAGTCGTGAGGAATCCGTGAATGTATGTAGGGCGAAGGATACTAGTGATGTAACGTCGCCATAATTTCAAGTTTTCTTTGTGGAGTTCGGTCATTTTAAATCTTTTTAACATCGACTGTTGTAGGTGCAATGTTTTGGAATCCTCTTCCGCCTACACGACTTCCATGCAACTAAATATCAGCTGGCGACTCCGCCCACACAGTGTAATTTCCAGGAAATCAAATGCCGCTTGGACGAAGATCTGCAAGAGAAACAGAAACTTAACATTTATTAACCATAATGTTTTTTCTCCCTTGGTTAGTAAGAAATCCAGTCATGAATCTCCGCGGATTTCTGTGTCGGAATCACTGACAAAAGAATCATCCCTAGAAGTTTGTTCCCCCCTCTCTTTCTCTATCAGTATCGGTTTCGATTACTATGTCGGTTTCGATTTCTTCCTCCATTCTTTCATCTTCGGAAGGTGATATTTCCCTGTGTTTTGCCTACATCTGCAGTGACTTCCCCCTTCCAAATCTGTTGTTAGACTCCAGAAAGTAAGAAAGTCCAAACCCAGTTTGCCTGCTGATCCACCGGCCCACTGTCTACCCCGTCCAAGTATTGTTTTTGCTTCTGCTACTCGGATCCTAATGCCTGCCAATTCCAATCTGGTCATCGACCACCAACAATCCAATTTTTAACAAGTTTTCGAATCTTTCTTTGTTTTTGCCCCGCTCTTGTACTTTCCCGCAGCCCTACAATCCTCAGATCTCTAACTCTCACCTCCACTGCTGCCCTGATTTTAATCTCTCCGCCACGCTTTCACAAAATTTAGAACTCCATTGCTAAACTGCCCTGCCACTCCCTGACCAGGCTTTTGATCATCAAACCTTATGTGACTCGGTGTCATTTTTTCTCTGCTAATGAATGTATGATACACTTTGGGACATGTTACTAGATTAAGAGCATTATATGAATGCAAAGTGCCATTTCTTGTTTTTCTATTCATCACAACGTTTCTCAGCATCACTTGCTGATACCACTGACTACTCTCCCACCCAAGTAACTCCCAGCTTATGCTCTGCAAAATGCGACCCAGTTTAACTGTTTATTCACAGAGCTGAGGATCCCTGGCCTGTGGTCTAACACCACTAGAGCCTGTCCTTTCTGTTCAATTGTCCTCCAGAGTGGTTTACACCAGAGACTAGCTTTGTTGCCAGAATGTTTAGTTGCATAGCTGCCCTATCAGACAGATGAGCTGGTAGGCAAGAGTGCACAGAAGCTAGACCTGTTTCCAGCTGAGGCAGAGATCTCCTTGTGCTAGAAGCAGGTATTGTATAAAATTAAAAGGGTCCAGAGTGGCCTCCTGCATTCATTTCAATCATGGGGTCAGAATCTTACTCATGGAAGGAGACCATTCAGCCCAAGTACCTAGGCAAACTCTTTAAGTGAGTCATTCAGTTAATCCCAAATCTTTTCCCCATAATCTTGCAAATTTCTCTAAGTATTTATTCAATTCCCTTTTCAATGATACGATGGAATCTGCTTACACCACCCTTTCAGGCAATATATTCCAGATCAACTGCTACTTACATAGCACCATTAACATCATCAATTTGTAGTAAAAAGCACCAGGTGGTTGAATGAGATGAAAGATATAAAGGGATGAGGCCACGATGGGGTTTTGAAATCAAGGATGCGAATTTTAAAATGAAGGTGTTGCTGGATGAGGGGACAATGTAGGTTTGAGAGCATAGAGAGGATAGGTGAATGCAACTTGGCACAGTAAGAACAAGACAGCAGGGTTTGGGATGAGCTCATATTTACAAAGGGCAGAATGTGGGAGGTCAGCTAGGAATGCATTAGAATAGCCAACTGTAAAGATAACAAAGGTATGGATAAGGGTTTCAGTAACAGGTAAACTGAAACATGGCTGGAGTTAAGTGATCATCAATAGGCGATCTTAGTGATGGTATAATAGGAAACATGTCCCAGGATCAAAATCGGACACCATGGATAAAGTGGTTTGGTTTTAGACAGTTGTCCACGAAAGGGATAGAGGTGGCATTTAGAGTGGATTGAAGACAATGGTTTCAGCTTCCCTAAGCTTAATGGTGGGGGAAGAGTTTCATTAAGCCAGTAAAGCAAACAAGCATGTGAAGATTTGTGCTGTGCATGTCGTTGTTCAGGGGTAGTATATAGATGCAAGAGTGGACCAACCACTGATCCTTGGAAAGCCAGAGATAATGGGGTGGGAGCAAGAAGAAAACATTGTACAGTAAACAAATCTCTGGCCATGATTAATTGATATGAATAGAACCAGGTGAGTGCAGTATCACCCCCACCTGGACAACAGTGGAGAGGTAATGGAGTGGGATGGTTGTTCAAAGGCTCTCTATAGCTCAAGGACGAGGAGGTATTGTTTATTTTTATTGCAGTCAGGATATCATTTCTTGTTGTCATGAAGAATCATTTCAGTATTCTGGAAGTCCGATTGGAGGAACTCAGAATGGGGTATCAACATTCAAGGATTTTGGGAGAAAAGGTTAGAGATGGAGATTTATTTGCAAGGACAGTGGGGTCAAGACCATAATAACAACTAAAGTTCTTGGCTACTAAGCTTTCCAGTTTATTCTAATAAATTTACAAATTTCCTTCTGTAGCTGTGCCCAGAATTGAACATAATATTCTAACTGAAGCCTAACCAATGTTTTGGAAAGGCTTTCTCTATGTTATCATTTATAAAATCAGAGTTCCTGTAGGAGATCCAACGTGTCTTTTTGTTGATCAGCCATCACTGCTTGGATGGAAAGTATACAGATATTTTTTCTCCCTTCCTGGCCTGTGCTTTTGAACTGTTTTTTTGACTCTCCCAGATAACATGTATATACTGTGGTGTGTATATACTGTGAATATCTACCACCAAGCAGCAACAAGGTGTGCTGTTTACAAGATACACTGCAGTAACTCACCAGGTTCCTTCAACAACACCTTCCACATCTGGGACCTCTACAATGTAGAAGAACAAAGATAACTTATGCATGGGAACATCACCTGCAAGACTGCCTCCAAGTCACATACTGTCCTGACTTGGAACTGTATCACTGTTCCTTCACTGATTCTGGGTCAAGATCCTGGAACTCCTTTCCTAACAGCACTGTGGACATATGTGCAGATGAAGAAGTTGATTCACCACCATGCTCTCCAGGACATGTTGAAGTGAACATTAAAAGCTGACCTAGCCAGAGATTATGCTGGTGTTTATGTCCCATATGAGCCTTCTCTCACCGTATCAGCATGTTCTTTTAATCCTGTTTGCCTCGTGGTTATCTAGCTTTCCCTTAAATGCATCCATGCTATTTCACCTAGTAATGAACTAACAAATAAGAAATTGGTTATTGCTTCATTGACAATGCTATGAGTGGAGGATAGTTATGATAAAAATGATGTGTGTTAAATTAATCCCATCACTTATAGCAGTCCACCTCTTGGTATGATTCTCTGGGAAAATTAGCCAATCATCTCATTCCTGGTTATTGTGATATTAATATACAGACTCCATTTTAGTGTGGCACTCTGACCACACTCTCTGCTAGTGCTTATGCATTCTTAGCACATCTGGTCTTGGTGGGTGTCCTGGATCCTCCCATCCACAACCCAGTGCTCATCTTGCTCATTCTTGGAGCTCCCAAAAAGTCCCTAACTTGTATCTTATAATTGAATCGTACACTGGAGAAGCAAACTGTTTGTCTGATATCTGTGCTGTCTCTCTACCAATTAGGCACAATGTTTGCTATTTACGCAGAAATCAAGTTCCAGTTTGAAAGTTACTAATGAATCTGCTACAACTTCAACACACATCTTAATGCCATCAATAACCCCTCTACTTGACAAGACACTTCCCACCAGTTATCACTATGATTGTTCTCTTCCCATTGCTGCCTCCAAACCTAAGTACCTCCTAACCAGCAATCCCTTCATTTTCCCAATTTTCCCTGCGATCATACTCCACGTTAAGGACTTCCCATTTGTGAAAAACCTCAAGTCATATTTCAACTTTAATATCCAATTAATGTGTGTGAGATGAATATTACAATCAGACTTCAACTCTGATCATTAATGCTTTTAGTGATGTTTGATAAAGATCAGTAGAGAGAAAATAGCAAAAATTAGGGAAAAACCCATGGTCTTTACAATGTTGTTTAATTACTGATCATTCCATGGTGACCCATGCTGCATCATGTTCTAATTCATAGGATTATTTTATTGCTTAGTACAACATTTCCAAATCATTTTGCACTTCGGACAATCTCAACAATTATGGAAACATTCTATAATATTATAACTCTCCCCAATTGTCACTACGCATTGATTTCACAATTTCCTTTCTACTGATATTTATCAAAAGGTCATAACAGGCACTTATATTTAGAGCTGATGTCTGGATGAGGCATTCATCACATACATCTAATAAATCTTGAAATTTAAATGTGACTTGATGTTTCTAACAAATGGAATGTCCAATGGAGTTGGACATGATTCCAGAGAAAATGCAAGCAGATAAAAAGACAGTGATAAGTTCAACATACTTCAATGCATCTGTTACCAACATGTAACAAAACTGGAAATAATTTTCCTTGAGCCACTTGATTAAATATCTCCTTTTAATCTTTAAATACTTTAAGTGAATTTTCATGCCAATGAAGGCCTTCCATCAAGCATTTTCAACTTAACTTTTTACACATTTGCACCTTGGAGAATTCTTTTTATTCTGTGCCATGAGGATGCTTTACTTCTCAGGCTAACATGAGTTTTCTATTTCTCTCAGTTTATCCTTGGGGATTCAAATTCATTGATACATAGAAGGGAGGCCATTTTGTCCAACGCATCAATGCCAGCTCTTTGCGATACCAATTCAAAACTGACCCCACACTCTCTCCTTGGATGTTCCCTGCATCAAATATTTATACAAATAAAATAACCCGATAACTACAAAGACCTTAGGACCAGATCCAAGCTAATACTCTCAATGCTGTACTGCCTGAGATTCTGCCTTTTGTGTGAGATATTAAACCAAGGCTTTATCAGTGTTTTCCAGGGAACACAAAAATGCCATGGCATTATTTTGAAGAAAAATAATGAGTTCTCCTGTCCCTCAGCCATCGTCAATAAAAAGAAGAATGATCTGGTCATTATCACATTGTGATTTCTGGAAGCTTGTTGTGCACAGAACAACTGTGTCATTTCCTACATAACAACAATGAG